ATATTCTATCATGTTCATAGGCAGTTCTGCTATAACATGACATGTTTTCCTGAAAAGCACCCTACTATGCAAAATAGAGCAACAAAAATCGCTGAGCTTATGGGAAAAAATAGTATTGGGCACAGTGATCAAGAATGTTGTCAGTCACATATTAAAAGGAAAAAAAAAGAAGATAGGAACCTGATAAAAATGGCACCCAGTTATGTACATATCCCTTAAGCTTTCTTTCCACTCCCCTACTTTCCTCCACCCCTGAAGTGTATTTCTCTTCCCCTCCCTTCCCATTTTTCTTTTAATATCAGAAAGACATAATAGAATCCTTCCCATGCCTTCTGCCTAATTAGACTTCCTCTATAATCTCTGATGATAATAATTCAAAGTGGACACTTGGATCATCTCCCCATATTAGTATGTAAGCAGTTTAACCTTGTTTAATCCCATATGGTTGTTCATTCATATTTACCTTTTTAATGTTTTTCTTTACTCCTGTGTTTGCACGTCAAAGTCTTTACATGTGTCTGGTCTTTTTTTTAAAACTTATTTTATTTATTTTGTTAAACATTTTCCAATTACATGTAAAAAAATTTAACAATCTTTTAAAAAAAATTTGAGTTCCAAATTCTCTCCCTTTCTCCCTTCACTTCCCTCTTTTTGAGAAGGCAAGCAATTTTATGTTGATTATACATGTGAAGTCATACAAAACATATTTCCATATTGGCTATGTTGCAAGAAAACAAAATAAACCAAGAAAAATAAAAAGAGTTAAAAAATATGGTTCAATCTGTTCTCAGAGTTCATCAGTCCTCTCTGTGAAGGTAGTTAGCATTTTTCATCATGAGTTCTTTAGAATTGCCTTGGATCATTCTCTTGATCAGAGTAGTGAAATGTCTTTCACAGTTGATCATCATTACAATATTGCTATTACTGTGTACAGTGATCTGGTTTTGCTCACATCAGTTTGCATCAGTTCATACGGGTCTTCCCAGGTTTTTCTGAAACCATTCTGGTCATCATTTTTTATAACACAATAGTATTCCCTCACAATCATGAACCACAACTTGTTTGGCCATTTGCTCAATTCCCAATTCTTTGCCACCACAAAAAGAATTGCTCTAAACATTTTTGTACATGTGGATACTTTTCCATTTTCTGTGATCTTCGTAGGATACAGACCTAGTAGTGGTATTGCTGGATCAAAGGGTATGCACAGTTTTATAGCCCTTTTGGCATAGTTCCACATTGTTCTCCACAATGGTTGGACGAGTTCCCAACTCCACAAACATTGCATTTAGTGTCCTAATTTTTCCACGTCTTCTTCAGAATTTGTCATTTTCTTTTTCTGTCATGTTAGTCAATCTAATGGGTATTTAAGAGTTGTTTTAATTTGTATTTCTCCAATTAGTAGTGATTTAGAATATTTTTATGTGACTATTGATAGCTTTGATTTCTTTTTCTGAAAACTGCCTGTTCACATCCTTTGACAATTTATCAACTGGGGAATGGCTCTTATTTTTATAAATTTGGCTCAGTTCTCTGTATATTTGAGAAATGGAGCCTTTATTGGAGAAATTTGCTGTAAAAATTTCCCCTGGTTTTCTATTTTCCTTCTAATTTTGGTTGCATTAGTTTACTTTGTGCAGAAGCTTTTCAATTTCATGTGAACAAAATTATCCATTTTACATCCTGTGATGCTCTCTATCTTGTTTGGTCATAAACTCTTCCCTTATCCATAGTTGTAACAGGTACATTTTCCCAAGCTCCCCTAATTTACTTATGGTACCACCCTTTATATCTAAATCATTTATCCATTTTGACCTGTCTTGGTATTTGGTATGAAATGTTAGGCTATGCCTAGTGTCTGCCAAACTGCTTTAGTTCTTACCCCGAAAGCTTGGATCTTGGGATTTATCATTTGGTCTTTTCGTCAGTAACTCCTTGAAGTCTTCTTTCTCACTAAAGTCTGTAAATTTTTCCTGTAGTCATTCATTCAATGCATATTTAAGTGCCTACTGTGTACCAGGCACTGTACCAAGTACTGGAGATACAAAGAAAAACAAAAGACACTTCCTGCCCTCAAGGAGTGCACATTCTAACGAGGGAGACAACATGTAAACAACTATGTAAAAACAAGCTACACAGGGATGAATTTGACGTCCACCACAGAGGGAACGCACAAGAATGAAGGGCTTCTGGAAGGGCTTCCCGTGGAAGATGGGATTTTAGCTGGAAGGGAAGGCAGTGTCGTCACCCTTGTGTGGGTGAGTTATCCTTGTAAGCCCATATCCTTTGCCTGCTGAAATATCATATTCCACGCTCTCCACTCCTGCATAGTGGTGGCTTCTGAGTGGTGTGTAGTCCTGACTGTGGCTGCTCAGCATTTGAATCCTTTTTTTTCTGGCTGCTTGCAGTATTTTTTCTTTGACCTGAAAGCCCTAGATTTTGACCATAATGTTTCTAGGAGTTTTTATTTTGGAGTTTGTTTCAGGAGGTCACTGGTGGATTCTTTCTATTTCCACTTTGCCCTCTTGTGTTAAGAGGTGGGCAGAGTTTTTAGGATACACATTTTGCCCAGCTGAATCAAACACTTTTTGTGGTCCACAAACAGTAGGCACTGGGATCTTGCCTTTTCTGTCCCTTCAGGCCCGTTGTGGAACTGTGTACAAGTGGTCTCCTTTAGAATATCATTTTTTTAATGCCTGCCTGTTCTCTTCCCATTCCCTGATCAAGGACATCCTCAATACAGGTGCAGCTCATTCTCATAGATTATCACTGTGTGGCTGGAAAATTGGCATAAGAATGTGTAGGTAGTGGTTTCTCAGTCACCTTTTTGGTAATAATAAGGCAGTGATACTTTCAAAGCTTTTGGCGTCCTTCCCCCTCTAGAAATGAAGAGGCTTAGGGCAGCTAGGTGGATGAGCACCAGCCCTGAAGTCAGGAGGACCTGAGTTCAAATCCAGCCTCAGACCAAACACTTGACACTCACTAGCTGTGTGACCCTGGGCAGGTCACTTAACCCCAATTGCCTAAAAACAAAAAACAAACAAATAAAAAAGAAAGGAGGAGGCTCAAGCTATCCACCCCCACTCTGTGGCCCTCCAGCTCAGGCCTCCTCTAGGGGCATTTTGTCCTGCCCGCTTCGCTTCCTCTTTCCCTGCCTCATGTAGCAGAATCTCCACTTCTTCATCCCCACCCTGGGGAAGTGGTGTTAGGTGATGATGACTCACTGCCTGTAGTGGAGGAAACTGATTGTTTTACAGAATTTTACCGTCTATTCGTTATTCTACTAGGATGAAGGACGAAAACATCCTTTAATTCAGCAGTTTTTTATGAAGCTAAGTTATTTGGCCCTGGTAACCTATAATGCAGATAAAAATACAAAATTATGTACCCCCCCAATATTTTTCAATTAATTACTCATGAAAATGCTTTTAGTAGCATCGGGGTGGGAGAAGAGTTGTGATTATAGATAGACCCGTGGTATGTCAGAGCTGGAATGGCCCTTTCATTTCACAGATATGTCCTTCTGAAGGGAATCCAGGAATGAGAATCAGGAAGAATGAAAGAGAACATTTCAGAGCAGATGCAGTTTTGTGATAAGAGTGTGTAGGCACTGTAGGTCACATGGACAGAAGGATTAGAGGGACGAGGAGTTCTGGAAACAGATTCCCAACCTGGCCCTAACTCAGAAGACGGTTGTCACAAAGAAATTCTGTTATGTGGATGTTTGGTTCAATCCAGAATCACTTATTTAATGCCTACTATGTTTAAGGCACTGTGCTAGGCTAAGACACAAAAAGTTCCTGCCCTCAAAGAGCTTACAGTCTATTAGGGGACAGAGGAAGGGTTACCATATGTAAACAGGTGAGTAAATTCTAAGTAGTTTAAGGAGACGGGGTGGTGGGGGGAGGGGGAGAGAGAGAGAGAGAGAGAGAGAGAGAGAGAGAGAGAGAGAGAGAGAGAGATTGATTGATTGTGTTTACCAAAGTTCTTTCTCTACCAAGAGTGGAGAATTGGTTGGGAGGCCACGTCCAGTAAAGTGTGTGCATGTGTGTGTATATGCATGTGTATATGTGTGTGTGTGTATATACATATATATATGTGTATATATATGTATATATACATACATACATACATATATTTTTGATAGCTACCTTTCATTATAATTTTCTTTGCAATCCTATGTCTTTTATTTTCTGTATAAAAACAACAACAATGTGGTTCTAAGAAGGGATCAGTAGGTTTCGGCAGACTATCAAAGCGAGGGTGTGGGGGTCCTTGACACACAAAAGGTAAAGAATTCCTGCTCCAGAATCTCTCTGGCAGGTCAGCATCCAGAAAGGAGGACAGTTCACGTTGTTAGGAAGTTTTTCCTGACTCGGAGCCTCAGTCTACTCCTGTGTAATGTTCCCCAATCGCTCCTTGTACAGCTAGGTCCTAATTAAGGCAAATAAAGAATCTCATAAAGTAGTCCTCTGAAGGAGAATTTCCACCATTTGAAGTTATAATGATGTGAAATGTGGTCATGGTTTCAGCCCAGTGGAAATGTACCCTGCAAATTCAAATACGGTGACCGCTGTGGGGGGTGCTTATTCACACTCTTGGGGACTGAGATGTGTAGGTTTCTGGGACCAAGCAGGACAAGTCTCGTCCTCATCCACAGGACAGACCTTGAGACACGTGAACGTTGCTATCATCTTCCCCAGAAATATTCTTTTCCTGCAGTCGCAGAGCCAGTCAGTCGCAGATATGGGATTCAAACCCCAGCTCGTCTTTGTGTACTGGATTAAGTTGGGTACTTTTGAGGACTTTGTGGCAAAGCCTTGGTTAGCTTTGGCAAAGCCCCGAAAACCAGGGGCGGCCTGGCCGGTCCCCATGAGCTGGGAAGGGCAGCTGAATGTCTAAAGGCACGTAGGGTGGCTTTGTTAGCGCCTCGCTCGCCGCTCTCTGCTCAAGACAGCGCTCTAATGGGATCCGTTTCCCTCCGTCTCTTTCTCTCTCAGAGGGTGATTTTCAACATCGTTAACTTCAGTAAGACCAGGAGCCTCTACAGAGACGGCATGACCCCAATGGTGAAGTCCGCCAGCCGCCCCAGATGGTAAGTTCCAGGCTGAAGCCGTCTCTCCTTGGTCCAAGTCAGTAATCCTCGGGGCAGAACGCGCCGCGTCTGGGGGAAGTCGCCCCGCTGCTGTCCCAGCAGCCTGTCGCTGGGCGTAATGTTGGCCTTCTGCGTCTTCTTTCTCTTGCTTTCCCGGAGAGCCCGCGAGTGGGGGACTTGCCCCTCTGGAGCTCCCGGGCTCTTGCTGCTGGCTGAGTTTGCTCTCCACAGGCTTTGTTTGCAGAGCTCATAGGCTCTACATGCGGGTAGGTGCTGTATTCAGTCACCTTCTGATGTCTTCCCCGAAGGAGGAATAACAGCTGTTACTAAGAGATGAATGGAAGTTGCAATTGAAGAGAAAGAACCTGGCTGAAAAATGCACTATCCTCACCCTAAAGTTGGGTGTGCATGTGGGCAAGGGTGATTTATCCGCCTGCCATGGCAGGGTATGGGGGCTACTGACTTGGGGGTGTAGGAGGGAGACGAGATATGTCTGTGAGATGTAAAAATAGGAGATTGGGCCCGACGATCTCAAACAGGTCGGATGGTCTGGGAGCCTTGATGTTCTGGGTGGGCTTGTGTTTCTGTTTGTGCATCTGCTTCTGAGGAAGAAGCCATGGGGATGGAGGGAACTTCCAGTGGGGGAACTGGAGCTCTGGAGTGAGGCTTCAGGAAAAGGAGATGGGCATAGGAGAGGATGCTGAGAGCACAGCCCGGGAGGAACGAGGCATGGCAGCCTGGGAGGAATGAGGCACAGCGGCCTGGGGCCCCTTCCTGCTGCAGTGGGGGTTCCGGGAGGAGCTGTTCCATCAGAGGCAGAAGGGATGAATGTGCTCTGATTTCTGTTTGGCATCTGGGGTTTTCCAGATAGTCCTTCACCTGGGCAAGTTTCCACTTGCTCTTCCGAGCTCTTTCTTTTCCTTGCTGCTCTTTCCCCCAACACAACCTAGATGGGTCCTGGATGAAGAGGGCAGACTAGAAGAGGTCTGTTCCAGTCGTCGAGCTGTTCCACTGTGACCGGGGAAGTTCTTGACTCGTCCAGGCACCCACAGGGAACAGGCCATAGGATTATGGAGTCAGAGCTGGCAGGCACCTTGGAGCCTCTCTTTTCCAACACACTCGTTTTACAAAAGCATAGTAAGGCCGCACATGGACAGCATTCCTGTCCTGATTCCTTGGTGGTGCTATTCCTCTTCCCAGTGGTTCTGTCTGCTGGCCGTAGCTGGCTCCCGACTACGCCCTGTGGCGTGGCAGCTGTTTGGAGAAGGGCCTGGGGGATTAATGAGGCTTCTCTGTGGGCTGTGTTTCTTGCTTTATAGAGCTTGAGTAGAGGGGTGAGGGGGAATGGAGAACATGTGTGTATATACATGCATACTTAGTTAAATGCACACACATATATATTCATATGTGTGTATATTTATACACATACGTAACATATATGTATGTGTGTGCATATGTAAAAATGCACAGTGCCCCTGGCCCCGGGTACAGACTGCCTTTGATTCGTGATCAGGATTCTGGTGGCTCTTAACAGTATTTGCACATTTTAAAAGTAGAACATGATTCTGGATGCTTTATGTTTGAATAGAACAAGCAGCAATTATTAAAGTGATGACGTGAAAGCCAAACTCTTTTCCTGAGTGCTTGCTTTTCTGGATAGAGCCCCACTCACCTCACTGAGACTCTAGAAGAGCAGAGCCTTGGGCCAGGTGGGAACCGCCAGCTGTGGGTGGGTATTTCTCTCCCTCAGCAGCTTGTGGCCCAGCTTCATCCAGATGCTGCAGCTCTCAACCTCAAGTTTTTCATCTGTAAAATGGGGATGGTAATAGCACTTTCCTCCTAGGCTTGTTGGGAGGATCAAGTGAGATAATATTTGTAAAGTGCTTTGTAAACCTTAAAAGGCCGCAATAATGGCTAATAATTAACATCCATTAGTTATTAACACTGGTTAGTTATTGGCGAGGTACTCAGCCTTGGTCTCTCCACCCCCGGTGCACTAATGGCCCTTCCAGGGGCCACACGTTTTGCACAGTGTGTCTCTCAATGTGTCCATGGACCTGTAGGGCAGCCTAACAGGGCAGATAGAGCCCTGGATTTGGGCAATTGGCTTTGAGTCCTTCTGTGGCCCTTCCTTTCTGAGAGACCTTTTACGGTTTACTCAGCTGTGACTTGGGCCTCAGTTTACTTTGTTTCCTCTTCTGTAAAATGAATGAATTGGCTTCCAGATCTCAATCTAAGCACTTCAGTTCATTGAAAATATCACAGTACTAAACCCGCATTGATGGAGAGACCGCTAGGGGGCACCATGGGGCACAGAGCGCTGGCTCTAGATTCAGGAAAACCTGAGTTCAAATCCAGCCTCAGACACGTCCTAGCTGTGGGATCCTGGGCAGGTCACATTACCTCTGTCTGCCTCAGTTTCCTACTCTGTAAAATGAGGATAATGATAGCTTCTGCCTCCCTGGGTGGTTGTGGGCATCAGATGAGGCAACATGTAAAGCTTTCCAACTTTGAAGTGCCATAGAAATGCTAGCTATTATAGCATCTCTCCTTTCACCCAAACAATCAGCAGTCCTGTCAGCAAGCATTCATTAAGCACCTCCTGTGTCCCAGGCACCATGCTAAGGGCTGGAAATCCAAGTCCAGGCCAAAGGAAAGTTCTCACCCTCCAAGGGCTGCTGTTGGAATAGGGACACCAGCACGTACAAGGAAGCCATGGTGAGGGGAGAGCAACTGAGTCAGGGCTTGGCAAAGGAGGCCAGAAGAGAGCGGCCTGTTGGGAAGGGGAGAGACCCAGGCCTGGCCCTGGGCACAGGGAGCCAGAGATTCGACCTTCCAAGATGGTGAGCAAGCCAGGTGACGCAGGCCTTCAGAGCAGCGGTGACTGAACACTGCGGCAGTGCCCGGGAAATGAGTGGAATAGGAAAGCTTGGGATGCCCAGGCTCAGCTGGCTGCCAACACCACGCCCTCGGTGTGAGTGCCCGTGTCCCAGGGCAGGGTGTGTGGCTGGCCCTCCGTCCCTCTCCTGGAAGGGTGCAGACGCTCCAGCTCACTGCCAGGAGGGGCCTCGCAGACCATCACGGCTGCCGGGGCTGCATCTGAGCGCGAGCTCCTCAAGGCTGTCATTCTCCATCCTACCACACGCCTTGTAGGCCTGCGGGGCCACTGGAGCCTAGGAGAACTGGGTGAAAAACCAGAGGTAGCGAGCCTGGCTTCCACCAGAGTCCTTTCCCAATCCCCTCTGAGCAAGGCCTTCGCCGCGCCTGTTTGTTTGCCTGGCGCAGCCACGTTTGACTGCGAGCCCCTTGAGGGCAGGACGTGCCCTCTGCCTTTCTTGGTGTCCCCAGCACTTGGCACAGTGTCTGGCTCTTAGTGTTGAGTGCTCATCGACTGACTAATGGAGAAGCTCTGGGGCTGAGGACACATGGTGGCTTGCAAAGGTGGTTGTAGGTAGGAGGGAGCTGAGGGACATAGGGAGGAACCACTTCCCTAAGGTTACAAGAGCAGCACATACGTGGGGGGGGGGTGTCCATTTCAGGTTTGCAGGCACTTTGCACATCCCTTCCTAGTTAATCCTCACAATAGCCTTGTGGGGAGAGGGGGCTGTAATCCTCATTTATCCCTGGAGGAAGCTGAGGCTAATGAGATTTCAGTGACTTGTCCAGGGCCACACAACTGGGGAAGTTTTCTGCCTTTATGCAGAGGCAATGAACAAGCACCAGGTTTAGAGTCAGAGGAACTCATTTCAAATCCAGTCTCCTCCTTTCAATCCTTTTGTGACTGTGGATGGGGCCCTTCCCCCCTTGGGCTTGGCGTCCTTTGCTCTAAGGTCAGGGGTCTGACCAAATAACTTCTGAAGGTCTCTGGGTCTCTGACCATGTGTGTCATCTCGGGTAAGGGACTTCTCATCTCTGGGCCTCAGTTTCTTCATCTGTAAAATGAAGGAAACCAATGAGATGACCTCTGAGGGCCCTACTGACTGTGCACTCGTGATCCCACGTATGACCTTGGATAGGTGACTCTCATCTCTGGACCTCAGTTTCCTCATCTGTAAAACTAGGGAGTGGGGTGAGATGACCTCCGAGGGCTTTCCAATTCTAGATTGAGGTTCTGTGGTGGCATGCCTTCCCCTGATGCCAACTGCAGCCCCTCCACATCTCATCTGGGACATTCCCAGGAGTTATTGTGCACTAGCTTCTCTCCTGGAGGCTCGATCTCTCCTTACCTAGGCTGGTCCTCGGACAACCAAGTCACCAGGCCTCCATATTCAAAGCTGTCCTGCTTGACAGGACCTCTCAGAGCTTGTCCTCTGCTGGCTAACATCCCCTCCATCATGGGAGGGAGCCCCAAAGGGGGATGAGGTAGAACTTAGCACTTAGCCACAGAAGAAGCACTCTCCTGCTTGTGGCCTCATTCCTCTGAAGCACCAGGAAGTTACTTGTTACATGTAAATCTGCAATCTCAGAATAGCTACTAAATCTGTTAGCTGCTAACAATAGCTTCTGAACCCCACAAATGGTGCTCCCTGCCTAATGGCACTACCTGCTATCCCCAGGACCCGCAGCTTCTGGGCAGGTGGGCTCCAAAAGTAAGTTCTAGGGAACAGTGCTGTCCTCTGGGGGACAGAGGCAAGTGCATGCTGGGGCAGGTGTGCTCAGCACTGGCTTCAGGTGTGTGTGATGGGGAGCTCCTCCCTTGGTGCTGGCCAAGTCACTGGCTTTGACTACAAGGAGGGAGCTCACACAAAAGCAGCTCGACTTCAGGAAAGCCTTTGCTCTGGTCTGAGAGCCGCCATCGATTGCATGGACGCCTGGAGGAGAAGGTGGGCTGCTCCAGGAGAAAACAATGAGCGATGGCAGACAGGCTGGCCGGCGGGCAGGCCATGGGCTCTATCAGTCTGTGGGATGGCAGACAGAGCCAGCAGAAAGCCACCAGAGCCTCAAGGGCAGATATACGGGGCCAACACGTGGTCAAAGGTCCAATGGAGGAAGCAGATGCT